TGATTCTGAGGGTAGCTTCGCTATTTTGTAAGCTCCTGTCCACCATGTCATTAGGGGACTCCATAGGTAAGTAAGGTAGGTGTAGAGGAGGCTTATGTCCAAACATGGCTTCATAGGGAGTGGTGTGGGTAGAAGAGTGGTAGGTGGTGTTATACAACCATTCTGCTAAAGAGAGCCAGTTAATCCACTCATTGGGTCTGTCTCCAGTCACGCATCTCAAATATGCCTCCAAACATTTGTTGACCACTTCAGTCTGACCATCTGTTTATGGATGGTAGGCAGTATAAGTGTGTAACTGAGTGCCTTGCATTTCGAAGAACTCTTGCCAAGAGTTGCTCTTGAAAATGGGGTCCCTATCACTCACAATCACCTTGGGAATTCCATGCAGTTTATACACATAGTCCATAAAGACTTGTGCTACTGCACTGGCTGTGTAAGGGTGTTTGAGTGCTATGAAATGTGCTCCCTTGCTCAGCCTGTCAACTACCACCAAAATGGAGTCCTTCCCCCCAGAATTAGGTAATCCACCAATAAAATCCATAGAAATCTCCTCCCAAATCCGGTTTGGTATAGGTAGAGGTTGCAGCAATCCTTGAGAAGCTAGTGTTTCCCCCTTATTCCTTTGACACACATCACAACTTTGAATGAACATATAGACATCAGATTTTAAACCCTTCCAATATAGTATTTATTTAAGTCTATGTAAGGTACTGTGGATGCCAGAATGCCCTCCTACTGCTGAAGCATGATAGTGGTGGAGAAGAAGTTGCTTCAACCCCTCTTGAGATCCCACCATGAGCTTCCCTTTTCTGAATAACAAATTGTTGTCCCAAGTGGAAGCTGCCCTCTGATTGGTCCCATTCTTGATGGCAGTTATGATTTTTTCCAGTTTAGGATCAGTTGTATAAGTCTTCTTAATCTCTTCCACAAATGCACATTGGTGCCAAGTTATAGTAAACAACGTGGAATCTGCCTTGATTCTAGAGAGACCATCTGCTACTACATTCTCCTTTCCTCTCTTGTATACAATAGTGAAATCATACCCCATCAACTTCACTAACCATTTTTGCTGGGCTGGGGTAGACACTCTCTGATCCATAAGGTTTTTTAAACTTTGATGGTCAGTTCTAACCACAAAGTGACTGTCTATGAGGTAAGGCCTCCACTTTTGAATGGCAGTCACCAATGCTAGTGACTCTTTCTCATAAGTAGATAAGCCTCATTGGTGTGTAGTTAAGGCCTTGCTCATAAAGGAAATAGGTCTTCCTTGTTGCATGAGGACTGCTCCCAACCCACTTCCAGAAGCATCAGTTTCTACTACAAATTCCTTAAAAAAATCTGGTAGTGCCAAAATAGGAGTTTGTGTCATAGCTTGTTTCAGTTCTTGAAAAGCCATTTGAGCTGAATCATTCCATTTGAAACTGTCCTTCCTCAAAAGTGCAGTAAGAGGTTGTGCTATCTTTCCATAGTCTTTCACAAATCTCCTATAGTAGCCTGTCAATCCTAAGAACCCTCTCAACTCCTTCAGTGTCTTTGGTATTGGCCAGTTCACCATGGCTTGGGTCTTGGATGGATCTGCTGCCACTCCCTCTGGAGTAATAATATGCCCTAAGTATTCAATGGTGGTGGTGCCAAATGAACACTTACTCTTCTTCAAGAACAACTGGTTCTTGCTCAGTATCTCCAATGTTTCCCTCAAATGTACCAGATGAGAGTCCCAGTCCCTACTGTAGACTAGAATGTCATCAAAGAATACAAATATGAATTTCCTTAATTGGTGTTGAAACACATCATTCATCAAGCTCTGAAATGTAGATGGTGCATTAGTTAACTCAAATGACATTACTAAAAATTCAAAGTGGCCATGATGTGTTCTGAATGCAGTCTTCATTACATCCTCCTTTTGCATTCTAATCTGATGATAACCAGATCTTAAATCTAACTTAGAGAATACAGTAGCACCATGGAGCTCATCCAAAAGCTCTTCAATAAATGGAATGGGAAATTTATCCTTAATGGTATGCTTATTCAGTTCCCTATAATCCACACACATCCTCCAAGTGTGGTCCTTCTTTTTAACCAACACCACAGGAGAAGAAAAAGGGCTAGAGCTCGGTCTAGTCACCCCAGATTGTAGCAAGTCCTCAACTATCTTCTCAATTTCAGTTTTCTGAATGGTAGGGTATCTGTAAGGTCTAACATTCACTGCTTCTGTTCCTCATTTCAAGTGAATTCTATGGTCATGTGATCTGTTGGGTGGCAATGCCTTGGGTTCCTTGAACAGATTCTCATACTCAGTGAGCAATTGCTGTAGAGATTGATCCATGTGAACCTCCAAGGACTGGAAACTTGCCTCAGTGCTTGCTGGTTCATTTTCTAACTCTTCATACTCTTCACACTCTTGCATGGTCCCGATGCACTAATATGCAATTTGTGAAGGGTTCTGTAAGATCCTATTGAGTTTTTTTGTTGGAAACCATCTTAACATTGTTCTGATGGAGGCCTCTAAGCATCACCTTTCTGCCCCCATAATTGAACTCCATTTTCAGTTCTTGATAGTTACTAACTATGTCCCCCAGAGTTGTTAACCAATGTATTCCCAGTACTAGATCACAAGTGCCCAAGGGTAGGGTCATCACATCTGCTGTAAATTCCACTCCATGTATCTTCCACACAAAGTCTATGCATTTGTACTGACTTCTCAGCCTGTTTCCCCCAGCCACAGTCACTGAGAAGGGCTTAGACTCCATCAACTTACACCCCAACAACTTAGCAGTTTCCAAATCAATGAAATTGTGGGTAGCTCCATTGTCTATCAAGATTCTAATGGTCTTTCCTCTTGCTGATCCTTTTAACCTCATGGTTTTAAAATCATGAGCTCTAGTGATAGCATGAACAGACACATGAGAGATGGGTTCATCCCCTTCCCACTCTTGTTTATCCTCTGATGTTATAATAGAATGAGATTCAAGCTCACTTCCAGGGCTTCCTTCCTCATCCCCAATCTCCATCACATACATTTGTCTTCTTTTGGGGCAGTGATGATCTCTAGAGTACTTCTCATCACACCAAAAACAAAGCCCTTTAGCTCTACGCTCATCTAGGTCTTGGTTGGGTATTCTTCGGTTTGGGCTCATGGATGGATTTCTAGGTGGGTAATTGTTTGGTTTTGGTAGGATATGGGGTGAGTAGTGAGGGTTATGGTGAGGTTTGGGCGGTTGGAAGTGGGGGGTGTGAGTGGGGTTTCGGTTAAGAGGTAAAGGGTTGGGTCTGTGGTGAGTGTAAGTGGCTCGAATAGGTGGTTGAGTTGTGTTTTTCCTTGGTGAGTTCATTTCCATAGATTGTTCTTGTAACTTGGCTAAACGTACTACTTCCATCATGGTTTTGGGCTTAAATATTCGAATGGGAATTGCGATTTCTGGTTCTACCCCCCCTAAGAAACAACTCACTGCTTGAGTTTCTGAAAGATCCACACTGTTCATTAATACATCAAACTGGTCCAAAAAGTCTTGTAGTGGTCCGGTCTGTTTCAGATTCATCAACTCGGACATGGGGTCTTCGAAGAGTAAGGTTCCAAATCTGCTGTTGAGGGCTTGAATGTACTCTTCCCAGTGAGGGATCTCCCTGGTTAGTCTGGCCTTCATGTATGTTTGATGCATCTGCAGTGCTCTTCCATCCAAGTGCATGGAAGCCAACTTGACCTTAGATCCAACCGGAGTTTCATCTACATCAAAGAATTGTTCGCATCGATACACCCATTTCTTCAGATCTATACCATCAAACCGTGGAAACTCCATCGACGAGCATTTTGTAGGCATCTGATACTCCAGATGCCCTGGATTTTCCACTCTATTCCTTCTTCCTTCCGGATCTGGTACTCGAGGCCCCTCCGCCGTTGGATCTGGAATTCCGATGAGTTTAGTTAACATCACCGCCATTCCAGCTCGCATCTCTTACATATTCCGGCTACTCTCCTCTCTACTCTTATGATTACTCTGTGTTAAGGAGTGGATCTGATCTCGCAGCTGGTCCATTTCCTTGCGCAGCTCAGCATACCTAGTTTAGTTCCTTCTGCCATGACTACTCTTCCTTATTTCCAGACTCTGAGCCGCCGAGGACCGACGACTCTGATACCAACTGCAACGTTCAAAAAACGAATATAGCAATAACAATAATAATAACCACAAAAACGATAATATTCGATTCAACAAACAACGGATACAAGAACCACCCGGGAAGCTCTAACACTGAAAGTGCTTCGAAGGTTAAGTCCAACACACGCTCAGACGCTCGGAGATGACGAAGATAGGCTACACAAAATCAGCTGCTCTTCTTCTACTCAAACCTACTATATATATAACCCTAAAAATAGGAAATGCTAGCTAGAAATAGAAAGCGTGAAAAAAGAAAACACGATTTTGAGTTATTGAACTTTAGCTAAATGTCCGTCCCTCAGGTGCCATGTGTTGCTCTTCCATTTGCTGGTGCGGTAGATAGAAAGGTATAAAGTTGCTACTGATATTACTAATAGAAACGCATTTACATATTGCGTTTTTGCCTTACTACGATATTACCCTACGGAAGTAATTCTGACTCGACAACTAACAATAGATTGCATGAATTAAAGTTGCATGGCTGAATTTTGTTACATCATAAGAAGTTTGAACTTTGTTACATAAATATTTAACGGTTTTTGTGCATAAGTCACTAACCAACCATCTTTATCATTTTAGGTTTAGGGGTTATATCTCTTTCACCAATAAGTTCATCCCTTTAATATTTATTATAAACAGGAAATTACAATTTGCACCCCTGAACTATAGGGTTTGTCCCAATCACCCCCTAAACTATATAACTTAACAAAAAGGCCCCTATCATTTTGGGTCAACATTAAACAGAATGATACCGTTAAGTTTTGAGTCATTTACATTTTTGCTCTCAAATCCCCTCAAAGTAAAATCATCTTTCGCTCCATCACCCAATCTTAACTTCATTACTGCTGCTCTCTCTTGTTTTTCGGTTCCTAAAAAACAAAAAAATATAATTAAATTAGACGGAGAGAAGGATTTGGCCAAAAATACATAATTAAATTATCCAAATTTCGGGGCTAAGTGTGTTGTTGTCTCGTTCTCCATTTACACATCACTAACCTGCAGTCTGTGCCCCAACAGCCAAAACCGCGTCACACGTGCCGAATGTCCAACCCAGATCCTGATTCTCCGACTGCACACACGGTGAGCCTGGGACCACCGTCTTCTCTTTCTCTCCTCATTCACCATTGCCTAAGAATTGTGAATCTTCTTTCTGCAAAACCTTTTTCTAGGCATTGAGAATTTGTGTTTATGCTAACGAGACTAGCCCAAGAATTTTCTGAATTTTTAGTGTATGAATTATGTTTGTATCTGCACAAAAAATTGAATTCAGCAGATCTTTTATTGTTAATGATTTTATTTAATTTTATCAATATAAATCAAACAAGTATATATATACACGTATAGATATATATGTACCTACTATATGTATACTGTATACATATAGTACATGATACCGAGAGGTAAAAGAGTCAAAACAAATTTAACAACAATAAAAGTAATTAAAAAATTAAAAGCCAACATACCGCATCAGCAAACACAAACGGATTTGAAACGGATGGGGCGTTTTGTTACGTTTTATAATTTAAGGGTGTGTTTGTGACATACACTCATGAGTAGTGAATAGAGGGAGGGTAGATTTGAAAATAAATGAATGAATGTGTCTATCACTAATAAGTAAAAAAAGGCTGGACCCGTCCTTATTAAAAATGGTAGAATGGTTCTCACCAATAGCCTCAATAAAGAAATGGTATAAAAAATAAAAAGGAAACGAGAAAAAAAAAAGTGAGAGTATCACATGAAAAGACCTCTCTTGATTGGGTAATTACAACAACCCATCAACTATGAATCATTTTACACGTTCACCCTTGCGGTGTCAAATTTAGTAAAATCTTCTAGATTATGTGGAATATTCTTCAGTTTGTACCCGTTTTACCACATTCGAGCTCCATATTTTGAAACAAGATGATCATAAGATGTATCTCTTGACTTGTAAATATCAGATTGTGGTGCATCAGAAACTGCACTTTTGCACAAAACGAGTACAAATTAGAGAACATTCCAAGAAATCTAGAAGATAATGTTGAATTTGACACCATATAGGTGGACGTGTAAGAAGATTCATAATTGATGAGTAGTTGTAATTATCCAAACATGATTGTATTTTTCTGTAATTTGACCTTATCTCATGTGTGACCGTAATCTATCTCAGAAACAATAAAAACTTAAAGGGCTCTTTATGGATAAGTCCTAACCAACCATCTTTATTATTCTAAGTTCGGGGGCTATATCTCTTTTGCCTATAAGCTCATCCATTTAGTATGTATTATAAATAAATGAAAAAATTAATGTATATGACAACCCTTTAAACCTAATTTCTAATTATAACACCAATTTAACTTCAATTTAATCAATTTTAACCATAAAAATTCACTTTTGACTTTTTCTTTTTTGAAACTTCTTTTTGCCGTCGGTTTCCGACGTTGATTTTTTGTTTTCTGTTTTTTACGCCGTCGGTTTTCTGAGTTGACCGACTGTCTGCGCCGGTCTCCAGTGTTGACTTTTTTTTTCTTCTAATTTTATTCATTTTTTTACACCGGCCGCTGAACGTTGACCGTAATTTTACTCTCATTGACAGTAATTGCATTGTTGCTGACAGTAATTGTACTGTTGTCGGTAGTACATTTGCGTAATTGTACTGTCGTTGAGAGTAAAATTACTGTAAACACAATAATATTACTGCCCAACCACATCAATATTATTATTTTTTTAGCCTTTTCTATTTTGTTTGATTTATTGACCCGTGAAAGTAATAATATTAGGGGCTTTTTGATATAACCCCCTCAATATTTCTTTTAATAGGGAAAAGTCCAAACTACTTTAGACCATTTGAGAAAAACACACTCCTAATTTCAACCACCCATTCTTTCCAATTATGTCATTTTTTTGCCACCTCATCAGCACTATCCGGCTCATGACCCATCAGCCGTGTCTTTTTTTTCTTTTTTTTTTTTATTTTGATTATTATTTTTTTATTATTTCTTTTTTTTCCATTTTTTTATTTTTAAATATTTTTTTTTACCATTTTTTAACCTTTTTTCTCTATGAGGTATTTTAATCAACTATGAAGCATATTAATTGACTATGATGAATCATAGTCGATTAAGGAACAGACTACTAAAATAACAAATCACAACTACAAAAAAATGAAAACTCAACTATAATTTACAAAAACAAAATATATACAGACATCATAATTTATTAGGTAAATTACAAACACCCCTGAGGTATGGTTAATTTACGAAAAAACCCCTCTTGTTTGGATAATTACATCTACCCCCTCAACTATGATTTTTTCTTACACCTCCACCCTTATGGTGTCAAATTCAACGTAATCATCTAGATTCTGTGAAATTTGCTCTAGTTTTTACTCGTTTTTTGTAAAAATACAGTTTCTGATGCACCACAATATGATATATACAAGTCAAAAAAACATATTATGATCAGCTTGCTTCAAAACGTAGAGTTCCAATAAGATAAAACGGGTACAAAAGTAAATCAACACCGCCCGAGACTGACGTTAACTGCTGGTCAGCGACGGCAGAAAGAAGAAATAAAAAAGAGAAAAACTAATCGAAAAAAGTCAACGTCGGAGACTGACGGAAAAAGCAGACATAAAAAAGTCAACGACGGCAACGAGCGAAATTACAATCAAAATTGGGTTATGAGTTAAAATTGAATAATTGGTGAAATTTGGGGTCAAATTGAGATTAAATTGAGTTAAATAATGAAATTGAAGCATATTAAAATGTGAAGGAATATTGTTTTAAAAAAAAAATGTGAAGGAATATTTAATTTTTTTTTACACACCTCTTGACCTTGTATGATTTTTTCGTATAAAAATATTTTTTGTCTGGATCATTTTATCAATTAGTAGCGTATGATGAACTTATTTAGAATAAACCCAAAAAAATAAAAAGGAAACAAGAAAAAAAAAGAAAGAGTATCATATCAACTTCCAAATTCAACCACTCACGGTCCACCCATAGAAATCAGAAATTGACAAAATCCGTTTTCTCTCTCTAAATATATAAATATATAAAGAAGAAATACACAGATAATAATAATACAAAGAGAAATTTGGGAGGAAAAAAAAAAAGGGAAGAAAAAATGAATTCCCTCGCCACTCGATCCCTTAAATCGAAATCCTCCCTCTTCGTTCTCTCCAGATTCACCCAATTTTTCTCCACCACAACCACGCCATCTCAGCCTCATTCCGATTCTCAGAATTACCCTCCAACCCTCGATGGCTTGCGCCGCCGCCTCGCCGCCGAATCGCCGACGCTGGGCGAATTCGTCCAGCTTCAATCGGACCAGAGTTATTCTGTGGAGGTGGGCACCAAGAAGAAGCCATTGCCGAAGCCTAAATGGATGAAGGAATCGATCCCCGGTGGGGAGAAGTACACGCAGATCAAGAAGAAATTGAGGGAGTTGAAATTGCATACTGTTTGTGAGGAGGCTAAGTGCCCTAATTTGGGCGAGTGTTGGTCTGGAGGTGAAACGGGAACCGCCACCGCCACGATTATGATTCTTGGTGATACCTGTACTCGTGGCTGCAGGTATGGATTGAATTCGATATAAAATATATTTTCTCGTGCTGAATTTGTTGCTTTTTAGGTTTGTTTAGCTTTGGAACTTTGCCTTTGATGTATTGATTTATCTAATCGAAGGGGTAGATTAATACGAGTGATGCGATTATTGAAATGATGGGTTATTGTAAACCGGTGGAAAATGTTGCATATGGAAATTTAGTATGTTGGTTGAATGAATGAAATACAAGTTCTTACCTTTCGTATGTATCGTTAGAGAGTTTTAAGTTTTAAATCAATCGAGGTGTTTTTGTTCTTACGTGTAAGGTAATTTGGTACTCTAGTTGTCTTGGTAATAAGTGCCATTTTAATTGAGTTTAAATCTGCTCGATGCATGGGTCGATGGCTGACAAGAGTCTCGTTAAGAGAATTCCTAATATTGTAATTGATACCACAGTTGCTCCAAGTTAAGTCAAACTGAAAATTGTAATAAAAATTTTATTTCTTCATAGTCCCAGAACAAAGTTACGTGGTTCAACGAAGTTTAATAGTGAAGATGTTAAGATGATACAATGACGACGAGCCTTTTAAGATTTACTACCCATTTACTGATAGGGACTTGAGTTACTTCAATAGAAGAGAAATGGAAATATTTGAAAAAATTCTTGAATTATTGCATCTTTTTTCTGATTGGGTTCTCTCTAAACCAATTCAGGTTTTGCAATGTAAAGACATCACGCACTCCACCTCCTCCCGACCCTGAGGAGCCCACAAACGTTGCTGAAGCAATAGCTTCGTGGGGTTTGGAATATGTGGTGATAACGAGTGTTGATCGGGATGATTTACCTGATCAAGGAAGTGGACATTTTGCGGAGACTGTACAGAAGTTGAAGATACTGAAGCCAACTATGCTTATAGAAGCCTTGGGTATGAATTATGTGTTCGTATTAGTGTTTAAATCAGTCCAGCATGTGAACTTGGAACATGGCAAACTCGGTTACACACTGAAGTAAAATATAAAGACCTTATCTATAGCTATGGTCCAAAATTGGCCATGCGGCGATTTTTTCAGAATCCACAATCTGCTATTGTTTCTTCGGAATAATCTTGGACTTTTGTGAATGCTATATAGAGAGAATTTAATCCTCTTATATTTTCTCTCGAAGTGGAGATTCTTACAAACAACACATCCAGTAATTTGTCTTCAAGAATGGCTTCTATTACCTGCCCAAATTAAATTGCTGATTCCTCACCTTACCTTTTCTACTTTGAGACCCGTTCTCCATGGAAAATGTCACATATGATGCATAATGGAAGTGCAAACATACAGATTATGTTCAACCGAGTAATGTTTTCTTTTCTGTAAACGTAGACGTCTATGTGAATTTTATTTGTTATTATATTCTTGTTTTGTCGACATTTATACATATGATTTGTCTTGGTAATGAATGATGGTGATGCATATATCAAAAAATCCTTCTTTGAAGTTTGAGCTGATTTTCATGTTGCCTATGTTGTTCCAAAACTGCAGTTCCTGATTTCCGAGGAGACTCTGGCTGTGTGGAGAAAGTTGCCAAATCAGGATTAGATGTTTTTGCGCACAACATTGAAACCGTCGAAGAGCTTCAGAGTGCAGTTCGTGATCATCGTGCTAACTTTAAGCAATCAATGGATGTTTTAATGATGGCAAAAGAGTTTGCCCCACCAGGAACACTCACCAAAACTTCGATAATGTTGGGGTGCGGAGAAACACCGGACCAAGTAGTGAAAACTATGGAGAAAGTGAGGGCAGCTGGCGTTGATGTCATGACACTCGGTCAGTACATGCGACCATCAAAGCGTCATATGCCCGTGTCGGAATACATTACTCCTGAGGCTTTTGAGAAGTACCAAATTCTCGGCACGCAAATGGTTTGTTTCCCTTCTTTTTGTTTCATTGGAAATTACTTGTTTTCTTACCATGACATGAATGAGAGAGAACATGAATCTTTGAATTGCTGTCTTCTAGTCAATTTTACATGTATTCTTCCCCTGATTGCACGCAATATGTTCTCGTTTTCGATGCTTTTCTATTTGAATATAATTTATTTAAGCTGGGAATAAGCATTGAAGACCACCTTGCTAGGTGTCTCCATATTCATACGGTGCTATCTCTGTATGTTTTGGGTTCCTCCAATGTTTTTGTAAATGGTTACTTTCCTTGCTAAAATTATCGTCTTAATGTTTCCAGGTTTACCTTTAATGATTTTTTTTATGGAATAGCGTATCGAGTAACAGACTTATGGAACAAAATAGAAGTAGTAATTGTTAAGATTATTCTTGATCCCTTCCTTTCTGTACGGAATTCTCAAGGGCAAAAGTCTATGCTAATTGTGTGAATTGCATTTATTTCTCTGCTTATCTGATCAATAAACTGAACTTTTCTTTCTTTTTTTTTTTTTTAACTGTCATTTTTTTAATACTATGGGCGAAATGAATGTTATCTAACAAATCTGTTGGACATGTTTATAGTAGCGTATTTGGTTGGATTTGACGTGAAGATTTTATTTCTTTAAAAAAATTCTGATCGGATGCGGTAATCATCTATAACAATTTTATTCATGCATGAAGCTAGATTCCGTAACTTGTAGCAAAGATCCATCTTAGCAGATTTGTTTGTAACCGTAGCATGAGTACACATATATGCACACAACACAAGTAAATATAGCCAGATTTGCTTTTTTAGTTTTGTGGTGATATATATTTTATTCAGCTGGCAACATTATATCTAATGTATATATGTGTCGCCAAAAAAACTGATGTTTGTTGTGTCTATGTGGCAGGGATTCCGATACGTGGCATCGGGCCCCATGGTGAGGTCATCGTACAAGGCTGGTGAATTCTATATCAAATCCATGATAGAATCAGACCGTGCTTCATCTTCTTCTGCATAGATCCAAAAGATCATTTTCAAGATTTCGTAACCATTTCATTCGTTTGTGAAGAGGGCCTTTCATTTGTTTCAGTTGGCGCCTCATTTCACCACGGAATAAGAAAATCATATTCTGCTTACTTTCTTTTCTAAGCAAATCGGAGTGATGTTTAAAAGTAGTACGGTGTAGTTGTATATTTATTTTTTGGTGTAAATTGCAATTAGAATAATTGCTGTTTTTATAACTTGAATCAATGAATGGTATAACAAGATGGTTGTGATCTTCAAGTATGTTGTTGTATTGTTGGATTTCCAATCTTGTTTTATCCTTTCATTACTTGATCAGAAAGTGTATTGTAACTAGTACATAAGCATGCTTTCTGATTCTATTGTAATCTTATTTGATTTTTGGCCAAAAAACTATATATATATATATATATATATATATATATATATATATATATATATATATATATATATATATATAGCAATTACTTAGGATTGTTGGTTTTGTCCAATGGACTTACTTGACTTGCACGTTAGAAAAACGATGAACAGATTATCGATCATTCAAGACAAATAAACCGTAGGTTAGAAACAAGATAACCAATTTTTGTTGCTATACTAAGGTTGTTTCTTCAAGACGTGATTGATGATCGAAGCATGAACAGCCTTACGAGCGTTCTTTCTTAGGTTGTTTCTTTACGATGGGATTGATGTTCAAGCCATTGGTTAGAGCACAAGTGGATGTAAGAGATGCCTTGAGTATGCTTAAAGCCTGCATGCACCAAAAATCGAGTCGACCTTAACGACTTAACATATAAACGAAATAAACATGAACACGTAAAAGTTGAATCATATTCATATTATTACCTCTTGCAATCCGACTAGCACCTTCACTTCTTTGACATCAGAATACGGGATTTTCAATTTGTTGAGCATAGAAAGGGTAGATGTCATAGTAAAAGGAGTGACGGTCAAATCATCACTCACCATATACATTGTCGGTCCTTGTCTAACATACCTTCCATAACCGCTTCGAAACTCAATAGCAGGATTCCGACCGGTATAAGACAACCACTCAATACCAGGTTCCTGACCAGTAGAAGAAATTCAATGTGACTGCCGACTGAAGTAATAGAGTCGAGGAGCAGTTTGTTCACTGAGAGGAAAAATCGGGGTTTTGGACATGTAACCATACGGTATCTTAGGATTCATTAGCCTATTTTTTGTATCTGCATTAATCAGATATTTGTCCCCGTTAATATCTGCTACACTTCGGTACAAATTATCTAATTTGGTAAGAGAAGTGTTGCCGCCCAAAAGAAATGCAACTCCTCCGAGAGGGATAACCAACAAACCGAAAAGGAAATCAATAAAATCCTGCTCCGATTGCGCAAACAATAATTTATTGCTTGATTTTTGCAGCATCACATTCAAAACCATCTTCTTAGACTTCCGAGTTGCTTCTTTCTCCTCCTCACCAAATAAAATTCCTGCTTCGGTTTTTACGGCTGCTGAGTCCATTCCGAGTTAGTAATAAATCCTTCAGCAAATTCATAATCTAACACAAACATTTTTAAATAAAAACAGAGAAGGAAAAAAAAAATATATATATATATAAGTTACACATTAATATTTTTTTTAACCAAAATTCATTGAAGAAATTTAATCAAGAGGCTTACATAATTCAATCGACAAGTCGAATTCCTTGGTTCGGCTCCTTCCGCGTCCGTAATGCCAAGATTGCCAAGAGTTTTAATGACTGATCCAGCCACATTAGGAACCACCTGCATATCACCGGACATTAAAAAAGATGCTCTTTTTATGGTAAAAATTCCACCACCACCACCACCACCACCGCCGCCGCCACCGCCGCCACCGTCATCGTCATCAATGTTGCCAGATGAATCCCTTATAACAAGCTCTCTTTTCAGACTTTTCCCACATCGGCAAACAGGAGCGTCGTAGTGCATGCTTATATTTACGTGTCTGTAATGAACACAGTTAACGTCTTCACAGCAAAAGTACTTGGCCGGTTGAAACGTACCGTTGATATCGATTTTTAGTTGACGGCGTTCGTATTCGGAGGAGCTTCTTGGGCTGAGAAGCATCGCCTTACAACCCTCCGACAAAAAATTATCGCTGTCCAAATCGGCTACGCCATTGTACAAACTGGTTAAGCTTCCGATTATCGGCGGTGCCTTTTCATCTCCATAGTGCTGATTCAAAACTCTTACAATGGTCCCCAACGGTAATGTCAGAAAGCTAAATAAGACATCGGTAAAATCAGTACCAGCTTCTAGGAATAGTAGTTTGTTGTTCTGTTTGTTTGCCATAACTTTCAAAACGAATTCAACTTCTTTTGAATCAGACATTGTTTTGGCTTGATCAATACAAATTCAAAAATCTTAGAAAATAAAAAATGGGAGGGAATTGAAGAAGAGGGGGGTTGACGGCGCAAATGAATAATAAATGTGGGGTCGAGAATAAGCGTATTTATATTAGGGCTTTTTCTCACAAAGGCTTTAAGATATAGGTCCTAATGAGAAAACTTACTAGAACTAAATGACAAGCTTAATTAAATATTTGCTATAAATTCTCTGTGAAATTCATTTCAAAAATGCCCCCACTTACAAATTTTAATTAAAAAATTCATATTGTATTTATCATTTTTTAGTCTTGAATATTTTCATTTTTTACCTAATATTTTAATTTTTTTTTACAAAACACACGTTTTTCTTTTTTCTTTTTTTTTTCTTTTCTCTTTCTTCATTTAATCATTTTTTACACTAATATAAAACAAAAAAAAATCCTTTATTTATATAATATAGGAAATTACGAAAAAAAAAACATGTTTTTTTTTTAATCCGATTTACATATTTTTTTTATATTTTGTTTTAGTTTTATCTGTTGTTAATAATATTGCAGTAGACTTTGGTGTACTATGATATATTATGGTGTACTATAGTTTACGGTGTACTATAGTTTACTATAGCGTACTATGGTTTACTACGGTATACTATGGTTTACTATGGCGTATATTCCAAACCCTAGGATCAAAACATAGTATCAGCCGTCGGCAAACCCTAGAGCAAACAAATCACAGCCGCCACCAACTACTATCCGCCAATCCTAACCGTCAACCTAAACCCTAGCGCCGTCAAAAAACCCTAGGTTGATGCAATCGCCTCCAACCACCGATCTAACCTCACACCACCATCTCCAATGGCCACCTCCACCATAACCATCACCTCTATGACCACGACCACCACCGCCATCGCCATAGACCCACCTCCGTTGCCTCCTTCTACACTCTCCCTCTCCACCGCACCGTCGCTGAGGTCTCCAAAAACCTCGAGATCTTCAGATCTATTCATCGCTTCCTTCACCCTACTCTACTGCTCGGCGACGGATCAAGAATAGATCCTCAAAGTCTTCAGATCTCGGCAGCAGTGGCGGTGGCATCCTCGGTTTGCCCCCTATCGATTTGCAAGAGAGAGAGAGAATGGGATGAGTTGGACAACAGAAATATAAGAGAGGAAGAGAGAGAGGTGGAACGGTTGAAAAGAAGAGAGAAAAGATTGGGGTGTGAAAGACCGTGAAAAGAGAGAATGAGAGAAATGAGAGATAAACCTAATCTTTTATTATTTATATTAAGGGTATTTTCGGGTTAAACAAAAATAAAAGGATGTAGATCAAATTTTATTTTAAATTAAGGATTTAGTTATTTTATTTGAGGTTGTCATCCACATCAAAATAAGTTTGTGTTGAGGGGCTCCTAGCATATTACCCCTTTTCTTTTTGTTTTGTTAGGGTTGATTTATTATAGGGATAAACCATCGTTAGGTAAAATAATATAGTCTGGACCCAATTTATAATTTATTCTTTGTAAACAAACTCATTTAATATTGTCTGAATTGTGTGACCTCTCTAAGCTTATGTTAACGTTGATTATGGCATTCTTTGTTCATGCTTTTCTCCTATTTTCTCTCACTTCTTCTTATTCCTCTCTTATCCGTCATTTTATATTCTCCATTCATTTACTTCTTTTCATTTTTTTCCCCACTTTTTGACGTGTTGTTCTTTCATTCTTATCTCCTCTCTCCTCTTTCTCTCTCTTCTCTCTTCCCCCATTTCTCTCATCTCGTATGTTTTTCTTTTATTCTTCTCTATCTCTCCCTCTCTCTTCTATCTCTTCCTCATTTCCTCTATTCTTGTCTGTTTCTGTTTCTTTTTTTTTTCTCTCTTTATTTTTCTTTATTTCTTCTCACTACTTTACATTTTCTTCTACATCTCATTTTTTGTCGTTGAAATCAATCTATTTTCTACTCTATGAAATTCATGTTTTCACCGGAGATGAGATTTTTATCGTGAGTATTTAATTTTATAATACCATAGTATCTTAAATTGAAAAATAATATAGTGAATTAATGAAAATATTATAGTTGACTACCAATTTTTTTATAGTTGACACCGGAACAATTATAGTTGACTATCTAATTTTTGTAGTTGACTATGGCAGCAATATAGCTAACGACCCATTTTTTATAGGTGACTACCAAATTTTTATAGTTCACATCGTAAAAATTATAGTTGACTATCTATTTTTTATAGTTGACTTTGAGAGCAATATAGTGAACTACTCAGTTTTTATAGTTGACTCTGAGTGTAGATGATTACAATATTTTATGCTTTTCGCCAAAGCAATGATTTCTTCTTTGTTGTGGAATCTGATAAAACAAATTTTATAGGAAACAAATATTTACGAGTCAACAAATAGTGCAACCATATATTTGTAGATTAAAAAAAAGCTTGTTTACAAACTGCATTTTTGAGTAATCAACCATGGAAGAATTCTGAACTGTCGCATATGGTCGTCGCGTTTCTTTGATTTCGGCGTCACTGAAATTAGAGAAAATTTCAGTGATTCATGTATGAAAAATAACATAATTAATCAAATAACAATTAAATCTGCAACAAATCTAAGTGAAAATCGATTGTCGATTTCAGGCTTACCGTTTCATAGGATTTCTGTTAGGAGACTTCGATTTGTCCTTCGAAGACGCTGAGAATGGTGAAAAACATAAATTATGCTGTAAAACCACATAAATTAGGTTAATAGAAGTGAAGGGGAGCCATAAATGTATAGGAAACTACTTGTCTTCAGTTTGCTAGTTTTCACCATTGTTGTCGGCCTGTATTTCTCTGCAATTCGCACAAATCTCAATTTTTTCTTTTTGTGAATAAATGTAGCAAACCAGGGTATTGTTTCAACCGGGAAAGGATCGTATATATTTTGCAGATTTTTTTGCGATTTTCTTGGTAGAAATATAGCAGACTGGCAGAAATTTGGGAAGATATTACATTGAAGAAACGGTTGAAGACTTGGAAGAAAATGGTGGAGGGTTATTGCTATTAGAAAATATAGGGATAGTTTAGTAATTGACAAATGTGAGGGGGTTTGACCCAATTAAAATAATTATAGGTGATTAGTCCTTATATTTTTTTGTAATGAGGGGGTTATCTCATTAACCCTAATTTATAGTTGGGATTATTAGTGAGAACACCCAAAACCTTTGGGCATATTATGGTGGATCCACACCATTTTATATTATTACTGAGACCCCGTTATTTATAAAACTAGTAACTCACCCGTGTGATGCACGAGGATTAATTAAATAAATCTAAATGAGTTAATGTAACAAACCAACGAAGAAAAAAATATTCGAGAATGTAAAGAATACAATTGAACAAAAAATAAAAATTTGTATCTTAATTTATCAATAAAAAGTCTGCATAAAAAATAAACTTACAATATTTTAAACACCATCCATGTTGAAATGTAGCAAATAACTCTGAGACTGAAATCAAAGCAATGCACCAGTCTTACACATGAATCTGAATGTTGTTATAGAAGACCACGAAACTACAATCAAATATACATAGAGTGTACACATTGAAATAATGGATAAATATGAACATGTTATCAATAAATGATGTTTGTCAATGTGTACCTTTATATTCTTTCGAATACTTCTTTGTATGCAACGTTGCTAGTAACACTGGACAACTCATCGGATTGCCTTTGATTAAAATATTTATTCCAAATCTACTCTTCACTAGAGACAAGGCTACTTGACCGTGACTGAAAACAGACCTTGAAAAGTACAATCCAACGTGCGAGAGAGTTTGGCCTTGAGTTTTGTTGATTGTCACGGAAAATGATATAATCACCGGATATTGTCGTCTTTGATATTTAACTGGCAATGTGGAATTCAAAGGTATCAAAGTTATCCGAGGAATAAATACCATGTCGCCAACATTCTTACCCGATAATACCTTGTAACTAATTACGTGCATGCCCTATCTTTCAACTTGGAGACGAGTTCCATTGCTCAAACCTCTCGCTTGATCTATATTCCTAATGAGCATGACATGAACGCCTTTCTTTAATTTCATCTCATACGGGGGAAGATCGGAGCACGATATTGTATTGAGAAACTCGGCCGAGTAAATTTATGCATTAATCTTGGAACTTGTTCCGTCCACGCACATACTGTCAGAGCTCATGTAAACCTTTTCCTCTTCTTCTATTAGCGATGAAAGATAGTCGTTCTGTTGGGTTTCGGGCACGTGTACGCAACGGAAAACAAAAATTTTATGCGATTTAAACAACTTTAAAACACATAAACACATGCCCGATAATTATAACAATTAATTGCGTACCTTTGCGCTTCCAGCGAAATTTAAAAACGACATACATGCTCAATTATTTAACCAAATTTAAATCAATCAGCATGCTCGCGTTTAAATCAAATAACATGCTCGTAACATATAAATCAATTTCATGTATTCACATAAAATCATACAAGAACGAACATACATATTTAATTTAAACGTATACGAATCAAGAACAATGAATCGTGAGTTTACCTCTTGAAGCGTGAGGTAGGCGCACGAAGCAAGACGAGATTGCTACGGAAACCAATCCGTACAATCCAGGGCAGCAGCGGTGGAGCGGCAGAAGCGGCGAGACGGCCACGGCGTCGCGTGTAACTCACGCGCGGTCTTCGGGCGGCGCGTGGGGTTGCGTGCGGCTTCGGCTCGTGTGCTGCTCCTCGATTCTTCGATCTTCGATCTTCCTCCTCTCGGATTTCACCTCGTATATTTCGATCTACTAAACACGTAGCACTAGACACGTAATAGCTAGAAATAACGGAAGAAAAGAAAGAGGGAAAAGAGTACCGAAAGGGATCGGCCAACGGATGGCCGATTCCGGCGACTTTCCGGCGACGGCGGCGCGGTGGCCGATGAGAGAGGGCCGAGTGAGAGAGAGTGTGAGCGGCTAGGGTTAGGGTGTTGTGTTGTGTGTGTA